TACACCGATACAGCCTTCTCATAGCAGCCCAAGTCCCCAGCAGAGGAGAACAGATAAAGGAGAGTGATTGTGGCAGGAACCACCAGCTCAACATAAAAGGGCTGAAGGCCAGCCTCCGATCAGATGATCATGGCCAGGGAAACACCGCTTTCAGAGGCTGAGTCTCAAGGCCCCAGGGCTGGGAAGGGAAGCCAGGCTTGGCACCCAGCCGGGGCCTGAGCCCAGGGCCTAAGGGTTTGGTACTTATCACAAATCAGATCTCTCCCTGCATCATCACCAGTCTTTACAGTTACACTTAGTGTTTAAAACTAGCAAGCCTCAAGGAACAGATCTGAGGATCCTTATCAGACTTGTTCTGTTCTTAGGTGGGAGCTTCATCAAGAAGAGAATAGGGGACTAACCGGTTTGGCTCAGTGGATAGAGCGTCAGCCTGTGGACTCAAGCGTCCCGGGTTCGATTCCGGTCAAGGGCGTGTGCCTTGGTTGCGGGCATCTCCAGTGGGGAGTGTACATCGATGTTTCTCTCTCGTTGATGTTTCTAACTCTCTATCCCTCTCCCTTCCTCTCTGTAAAAAATCAATAAAATATATTTTTTTAAAAAGAGAAGAGAGCAGGGGGTGTATTATCTCTCCCTATAGAAGCCTCCAGCCTTTACAGCAAGGACTGTGAAAGGCCTCACCTTCCTCATACACCCAATCTTCTGTGTTCCAGCCACTTTTCCCTCAGTGTATCCTCTCAGAGCACAGAGAGGCTAAGTGACTTGTCCAAGGTCACACAGCTAGTAGGAGGTGGAGTCAGGATTTGAACTCTTAACAGCTTAGGCCCCTGGGTCAACTAGGGGAACCACTCCACCCTCTATTCCAAGGCAAAGGTAAGGAATGAACTTTTATTCAAAGTCCACCAGGCAACTTGGCCGTCAAGGCCCCCTCCACAAAGGACAATGAAAAAAGAAAGAATGGTTAGATTTCCCTGGGGTTCTGAACTGGAGGACACAGGTGAGGACCACAGCCCAAGGAATAAAAATTAGATTTAAATGCTCCAATTTGGCTAGCAACCCTCCCTAAAGTAATAGTCCTCCTCGTCCTTTACAGTCCTTACACGTATAATGGGGAGATGTGGCCAGAAAAGTACTGCTGCAGGCAGGCGGGGAGGGGATGGAGACACATCTCCCAGGCCAGCAGGCTTGGTGCCCGACTTCAGGGAAGGAAGGAGTGATGGGAAAGCTCTTATTGCTCAATAAAAGCTTCTTGGGGAATTCTGGCTGGGGGTGTCATCAGGAGCCCATGAAATAATAATCCCACTCATTAGCCTCTGTCATCCAAGCTCTGGCTGGCTCCACCCTCCCGCATCCCTGAGCCCTTAAAGGGATTTCACTTTGGAAAGTCTCAAGACAAGAGACCCAAACATCCCAAGAATTCTAGTTCAATCCAAGGTGCTGCTGAAGATGTTGTTGGGGTCCTAGGGTGCCTGGGCCGGCAGGCTGGCCCTTGGCTCCTCCTCCCGCCTGGAGGAGCTGTCTTTCCCACCTGGCCAGGAGCGTGGGCACAACCCCCTGGGGCTGGGACCAGTTAAGATGACTCACCAACGGGTGTGGGAGATTCTGGGCAGAACACCCTGGGACCTTCGACCTCCTCCAATTCACACAGAGTTTCTGAGGACACTGCCCACACCCCCGAGCCCAGCGAGGTGAGCTTTCCTAACTCACTCACTTCCACACTGGGGTTGGGGGGCAGGAGGGGGCTCTGCCAAGCCCCAGACTTGAGCTTAGAAACCCAAGTCCCAAGGCGTGTTCCTGAAAGCAGTCTTTTCACACGGAGTAGGAGGGAGGGGAGCGGGAGGCTGGCTTCCCCACGCTGCCCTGTGCCAGGCCAAAGTGTCAAATCGGGGAGGGGAAAGTTTCCTGGCCAGCTGGGCAAAGAAGAGGCAGGTGGCCTCGGAAAGCCTGAGGTCTGGGCTCATTCCCGGCTCCAGCTCGGAACCCAAATCTTCCTTCTCACTTAGCCCGAGGCTCGCCAGCCTCACGGTCCAGTCCTGCGGTTCCTGGTTCCTGGCCCCTCCCTGTCCCGATATCCAGGGTTCCCAGGCGGCTTCCCACACCCCATCCCCCATGCTCTTGCACACGTGCTAACCGGTTTCCATCCCGCAAAACCCTCGCACACACACCTACGGCGCAGGGGCGGAAAGGCTCCCTTTGACAGCCCTTCTAGGCAAGGGGGAGGGGGGATTGGGAAGAGGAGGAAGAGGATGGAAGGGAAGAGGGCGGGGGAGGAGGCCGCAGGAAGGCCCGAGATGCAGGAAGCAGCTGGGAGTGGGGGGAGGCTTTGTGCCTGAGTTGTTCTCTGGGTCCTAGGGTCCACAATGTTCCTCGTTTTCTGGGATCTGTGGAATGAAGCAGTGCATCTGGGCCTGTCACAGTTAGAGGGCGGATCTCCTCCCAGGCCCTGGAGGCTGGAGGCTGGAGGCTGGAGAGGAGTAGAGGGCAACCCCAGGCCCCTTGTTTGCAAGAGGGGTGGGGGTAGGGGTGGGACCCAGGGTAGGTTCGATTCCAGGGGGCATGTACCTTGGTTGCGGGCACCTCCTCCAGTGGGAGGTGTGCAGGAGGCAGCTGATTGATATTTTGTTTCTCTCTTATAGATGTTTCTAACTCTGTCCCTCTCCCTTCCTCTCTGTAAAAAAAATCAATAAAATATATTTTAAAAAACCCAAAAAACATCTTTCTGGGGTGCTAAGACAGAGGACGGACGTGCAGGTCACTGCCGCCCTTCTGCCTTCCTCCCCAAACACGGTGGCCAGGATCCTCTTAGAGCAGAGACCCGAACCCGGGCCTCCAGCATTGTTCCTCCAAACGCCTTCCTTTTTGAGAAGTGAGGTGACCTAGGAGGGGCATGAAGACAGGGACCTGCCCCCTCCCTCCCAGCCTGGGTGCAGAGCAGGCCCGTGACAGGACAACCCCTTCAGACTCCCCCAGGGACAAGGCCCGCTGGCGGGAGGACCATTTCCGTTCTCCAGCCCCTTCCTCCTCCACCACGAGGCCAGCACCAGGGGGCCAAGGTTTCACACCTGGAGGGTGGGTGCCCCAGGCTCCCCATGGGAGCTTGTTAAAATGCAGATTCCTGGGACAGGCTGCGAGCTTCTATTTCACCAAGTTTGGGGAGCCCCCCCCCCCATATCTGCATTTTTAAACACTTAGGATCCCAGAGCGGTTTTGAGGCTGATGGCCTTGAACATGCCGGGGAGCTCAAAGGCCTTCAGGGAAATACTCCTTGGCCCCTCCCCACTGATCTCTCCTCACTCCGGGGTGGAAAGGGGCGGCACTGAGACCACTGCGGTTGGGTTTCCTCCCCCCAGTATAGAGTGGGGGTGCGGTTCTGTGGGCTGCGATAAGCCGCAGTCGGAGGTTGGGATGGAAGCGTTTAAGCGGACCGGCCAGGGCCTGGGGTCAACGGAAGGCTGTCGGCGTGCGGCCGGCGTGGGATCGGGAGGGGACGCGGTGGAGTGGAGGGGAAGGGGAGGGCTCACAGGCGCCGGCCCCGGAAAT